TTTTTTTTTTTTTAAAAAAAAAAAATCCGTTTCCAAATCATCATTACTACTAGTCCATAATGCATAGCAGCAATTATTAATAATTAAAAAAAAAAAAAAAAAAAAAAAAACCTTGTACATGTAACATGATATGCTAGGAACATCGAAATATCTTTTTCGCAGTGTTTGTTTACTTCTCTCTCTTCTGACCACCGACCCCCTTCCAACCCAGATACGTCTATCCCCTCCTTTTTCTTTTGTGTTCATTTTTATTTTTTACTTTCATTACATGAGGGGGACCCAGGACAACCACCTGGAGAAAGTTCAAGATTTGATCAACTATGCTCATTGTCGCCAGAAATCAAAGCAACCTATAAAGATGGTGAAAGGAGAGATTAAATTCAACTCACAAGTGATGAAACATTTCAAAGTTTCTGTTGCACCTGCCAAGGAAAACTTCACCACAGCTAGACTCAAACTGATAAGGTATGAAAAAAGTACTCTCTCACATCATACTTATCCTTTCAGAAACAGTGAGCTTTGTCATACTCAAGAGTCAAGTCCAATTGGAAGTTTTTTTCTACGTTCAGTGGAAGTAGTTGGTTCCCTTTTGGTTTATTTGGAAAATGGAGCTCAACAATACTTCACCATTGTCAACCTTCTTCTCAAGTAATGGAGTAGATGTTCCTTGTCTTTATGTTATGTTTCTCTCTCTCACTACACTGTTGCTTCTACTTTTTAGTTTGGCTGTTGGTGGCATCTCCATTGATTCCCACATGACTTGCTGTTGTCTCAAAGATCAAAGGGGAAACTTAGCCAATCCCCAGATTATTTAATGAAGTTTTGAAGTCGTTATTGCCATAGAAAGAATTGAGAGGTCCTTCATTTAGCTGACATGTTGAGGATGCTGAGGAGTAAACTCCGGCGCCTCTACTCAAGGTTATGGTGGCTGATATGGAAGCACCCGAAGCGCAGAGTTATCATCAAAAGATTTGGGAAGATGAATGTAAAAGGTCGACAAAAAGGCAATAAAAATAAAGCCAGAGTCTATACAAAGAGCCAGGTGCCTGGTTCTGTCATTGAAAGGCCATTTCGAGTTGCTACATTCAATGTTGCCATGTTCTCTCTTGCTCCTGCTGTTCCGATTGCAGATAAACCAACGTCATTCGGGTTCGGTAGAAGCCCTGTGAGTCATTGCCCAAAGAGTATACTAAAGCAATCTCCATTGGATACTGCATTAAGCAAGCCAAAAGTTTCCATTAATCTTCCTGACAATGAGATTTCGTTAGCAATCAACAAGTTGCCGGGCTTATCGAAAACGACGGACGAAAGGTACTTCAAAAGCCAAGTCCCAGTAAGGTCTCCTGTGTGCTTTCCATTCTCCATATCTAATTGGCACTGTGAAGACCACTTGGCAAGTGGTAGAACCATCCTAGAGGTTCTTAAAGAGGCAGGTGCTGATATATTGGCTTTACAAGATGTGAAGGCCGAGGAATCGAAAGGCATGAAGCCTTTATCTGATTTAGCAGCTGCTTTAGGGATGCATTATGTATTTGCTGAGAGCTGGGCTCCTGAGTATGGAAATGCTGTTTTGTCCAAATGGCCTATAAAAAGATGGAATGTTCAGAAGATTGCTGATGATGATGATTTCAGGTTTTTATTTCTCTTCTCCCATCACTCACTGCAAGAATGAGAATCGAAAGTCTATTGAGAATTGTTGGGAGAGGAGTCCCACGTTGACTAATTAAGGGGAAGATCATGGGTTTATAAGTAAGGAATACTATCTATGTATGAGGTTTTTTGGGTAAGCCCAAAGCAAAGCCACGAGAGCTTATGCTCAAAGTGGATAATATCATACCACTGTGGAGAGTCGTGATTCCTAACAAAATCATCATATTTTCTATAATCACTTTTTTGTTTTCACCTTCTGGGGAAAGGTAGCAATGATTATCTGATGGATTGAGTTCAATTTGGATCACAGAAACTTGCTAAAGGTCGCCATCGACGTGCCCGGGACGGGAGAAGTTAACATCTACTGCACTCAACTTGACCATCTAGATGAGAATTGGAGGATGAGGCAGATTAATGCCATAGCAAAATCAGTTGATTCTCCACACATCTTGGTGGGTGGACTCAATTCTTTGGAGAGATCGGATTACTCACCCGAACGATGGACCGACATCGTCGAGGTAATCTCCATGCTTGAACAAATCTATTCTCCAAACAGTTAAACCAAATATATTGATGTGTGTGAAAGAAACCTCTATGTGGATCATGAGAAGTTGATAAATTCGAGTTTTTACGACTGCAGTACTACGAGAAGGTCGGGAAGCCGACTCCAAAGGTGGAAGTGATGAAGTTTTTAAAGGGAAAAGGCTACATAGATTCAAAAGACTACGCAGGAGACTGTGTGCCAGTGGTGATCATGGCCAAAGGCCAAAGTATGAGACATTGCTTAAACTCATGAACCGTTTTCCTTTGAAATATACTGAAAATCTTTGCTCATTTCATATGTTTTGCAACACAGATGTGCAGGGAACCTGCAAATATGGCACGAGAGTGGACTATATCTTAGCGTCACAGGATTCAACGTTTAGATTCGCCCCGGGTTCATACTCGGTCATTTCATCGAAAGGTACTTCCGACCACCACATTGTCAAGGCAGAGTTTGTAGCAATGGGACAGAGAGGTAGCAGAGGGCAGAAGGATTTAAAGCAAAGGATTGCAAGGTTGACTCAAACATGTTCTTCAATAGGTATGTCATTGATGCGTACTTAGATACTTTTTGCTAGTATACAAAAGTTTATCAGTTCGTACTATTTTGAAAAAAAAAAAAAAAAAAAAAAAAAAAACCCGAACTTCTTAAACCTATTTTTATTGAAATTAACGAGTTTATGAAGACTCATATTATTCTTGGTAAATCATTAAAGTTTATACAAAGTTGGTGTACTACTCGACTTTTTTATAGCGTTTCAATGCTAACGTTCTCCTCATTAAAAAAATGACTTGCACATCATTGCTATAGTATTATGCAAATATCAACTTTTTTATAACATTGTTTTTTGTAATCAATCGAGCTAGTTTCGTTTTCTATTATCTATTTTTGAATTTTTCAATTATTGTCTAATTGACTCGATTTCTTAATATATTCTTCAGTAGGTACGTAAAATTAGTTAATCAATCATCAAAACTTAACAATAAATAAATTCAAGAAATAGACCACTATGTGCAATATCAATGCAATCATGTACATATTAACCCATGCAATTTTAATGGTACGGTCGAAAATGAAGTTTTATGACTAAGCTCTTCCCGTTCGAAAATACAAAAAACCAAGAAATTTTTTTTTTAAACTTAGACCCTTTATATCGAAACACGAAAAACCCTCATAATTCACGTAAAAAAAAAAAAAAAAAGATTTAGAACCTTAATGAAAAAAGTTTTCATATAAGTTTGAATTAATTTAAATATAAAATATAAATATGTACATTTTTTATTAGCTCCACTTTTAATAATAAAATGCAAACTTGTGTATAAATCCTATAGTTAATTTCTTTTAAGTATGAATTAGAAACAGTCTTGTTTTGAATTTTTCTTCTAATTCTAACTTATTGTTACTATCAATTCAAACTATATTAAATAATATAGGGTTGTATAAATAAATTAAATATAAAATGTAAATTTATAGATTCTTTATTCAAGGATCGATAAGGGTATTGTAGGTGAGATTGTGTCGAGTCATGACATTTTTTTAATTCAATTAGGTTATTCATTTTGTTTATTTTTTTAACTTAAATAATTGTTATTAAATAATAAACCCAACTCAACCCTAATTTTTTTTTAATTGGGTTGTTTTGGGTTTTTCAAGTTATTTACTTAAATTTTTTATTTTTAATGAAAATAAAATATTTATTTATTTATTTTTAAATACTTAATTAAAATTTACAATATATATAATGAAAAATTACTTTTAAAATAATTTTTATATATAATTAATAAAAATGTATCTTTTAAAAAATGAAGAATAAATTGAAATTGGTTGGGTCGAACCAATTAGAAATTTATAAATCAAAGTTTTCATTTAATTGAATACAAATGACTGAAGTTTTTTTATTGAAGTTTTTTGAATCACGACCTTAACTTTATTTGATTTAAATAATGGAAGTATTATTATTATTATTATTATTATTATTAAATTTATTGATTTTTAATTAAAAAAATATTTTAAAAATGAATCAAATTTATATATAAGTAGCCTCACTAAGGACACCTTGTCTCCACGGCTCTATTTGTGACATCCAATCAAATCCAAAAGCCCTTGGAAATGGCCACCTCCGCAATTAAGAAACCAACCTCCACCGGCGCCGGCGACGTCATCAAAATGCTCCCGTCCGGAACCATCTTCCTCTACCAATTCCGACAGCGGCAAGTGCAACCCGTCCAACAAAGTTCTCGTCGTCGTCCTCGCCATCATCTGCGCCCTGTTTTGCATACTCTCTTCCTTCACTGATTCCTACGTCGGCCCCGACGGTACCGTCAATTGGATCATCCATCTCACTCTCTGTGTTGCTTATTGTTGTGTTCAATTAATTTCTAACTTCCATTGTTATGATGTTAAAAAAAAACTCCCACATCGACTCGTTGAGTTCGGTTGAGTTCAGTTATAAACATATTTGTATTTGTTCCGGTGTTCAGTTATAAACTTATTTGTATTGATTGAGTTCCTTTAATAGTATGAACAATGAACATGTATATTCTTATTAATATTCATATCCTTTAAATAGCATAAAATACAACCACTAACGTCTAAGAATAATTAGCGAAAATATAAAGTTATTAAATATTAAAAATAAAAATAAAATATATTATAAATCAAATAAAAAAAATATATTAAGATATAATATCTAAAATATATTTTTCAAATATTATATCTTTTCTTGAGTTTACTTGTAAACGAGTTTATCTATATGGTTGAATTCAGTCATTTGATTTTAAATAAATTAAAATCTCTCTAATCAATAAATTTTAAAATATATATTTTTATTTATAATATAATTATAAATACAATTTATTTTATTACTTAACTCTTTAAAAAAATAATTTTTTAATATATATTAAGATGGAGTAGTAAATTTTAATTAAATATTTGAAAATAGATTAATAGATATATTACTGGCTGATAATTTACTTTTGTTAAAAATAAAAATTTTAAAAAATGATTTGAACAACTTGAACCAATCTGATCCAAAAGATTTATTGTTGGGTTGAGTTTATTATTTAATAAAAATTGTTTAGGTCGAAAAAATTTACGACACGAACAATTGAATTAGATTTAAAAAAATATTCTAACTCGACACAATCTCACCTACAACACTCTTACCTGGCCTTCAATAAATTAATCTATTTTTTTTTCCCTTTGAATGTTCATTAAACGTGGAATTTGACCTTGCGAACTACTAACTAGTCGTACTTATGAAAGTAATACGTACAACGAGTCTATAAATTAAAATTTTATATTTAAATTATTTATTTAATATTAGTTTGAATAGGATAGGAATAATAATTTAGAATTAGAAAAAAAATTCAAACCAAGACCCTTTATAATTCATAGTTCAAGAAATTAAACCTTAGGGATAAGGATGTTAAGGATTATTGGAAATAAGTCACGCGTTAATTAATTTAGTGGAAGATCATGAATTTATAAGTGAAAAATACTATCTCCATTGGTACGAGCCCTTTTGGGAAGCTCAAAGCAAAGCCATGAGAGCTTATGCTTAAAGTGGACAATATCATATCATCGGAGCTCTTTTGGGAAGCCCAAAGCAGAGCCATGAGAGCTTATGCTTAAAGTGGATAATATCATATCATCGTGGAGAGTCGTGATTCCTAATATGGTATCAGAGTCATGAACTTAGTCATGTCAATAGAATCCTCAAATATTAAACAAAAAATTGTGAGTCTCGATTAAGGGGAGGCTATTTGAGAGCTCCATAAGTCTGAGGGAAGAGGGTAAGGGGTAACCCAAACCTGTCGGAGTCATTTATAACTAATATAGTAATATTTGATTTATAACAAATTTATTAACATATTATTTATTATATGCTTCGTATCATACCCAATTAATATAATGATGAATTTGTGAAATTACATATTTAGATATCCAAACACTCCCTTCATCGTTCAAATGTCACATCATCATAATGCACGTTGAACCCGCACGCCGGAAGTTGCAGACGACTCAAAATACCCAATTCCATGGCGAGTATTCGGGAACATCACAAACACCGCGCTCGAAACCACTCCGACGACCGGCGGCAGAACCTGAACCAACAACTTATCCGCCGCCGCAAAGCTCGGGAAGAAGAGGCAGTGCACAGTATCGGAGTCGAGAACCACCAAAGCCCCAAAAACCAGAGCAGACAAAGTAGCGTGTACGAAATCCCCTGCCCTAAGCTTATAGGCTGAAAGATCCACCGTTTTCGACTCCGGCGCCGGCCACATTCCGAACGCTGTAGCGAATCCCCAGTGGAGAACGCCGTCGTCGCCAGTGTAGGAATCAGTGAAGGAAGAGAGGAAGCAAGAGAGGCCGCAAAGGAGGATGAGAGTAATAGAGAGGGATTTGTTGACTGGTTCGCAGTGGCCGCGGTTGGTGAGGATTGGGCTGAGGAATTGAAAGAGGAAGACGGTGCCGGTGGGGAGGAGGCGGATTAGGTTTCCGGCGCCGGCTAGGGCTTTTTCTGTGGCGGAGATAGCCATGAATTAAATTGGGGATTCGATTGATTTGGTTCCGATTGTTCTTGATTTTGGTTTGATTTGAGGGATTTGAGTGTGGTTGAAGAGGAATTTGGAGATTTAAAGAAATGGATTGAAGCAGGAAGATATCCATTTTCATTGGGTTTTGGCTTATACGCAAATGAATGGAGAAGATGATGGAGCTTGTTTTCCTTTTACTTGCACAAAAGGTTCGCAAAATAAGGTGTTTTCATAAACTTCAATTTCAATTTTGGTTTTTATTTATTTATTAAATTAATAAAAATACTTTAATTTTCAATTTTTTTTATATAACTTTTTTTTCTTTTTTCATATAAACCATTTATCTATATTTCAAATAACCATTTTTTTAATTTATCTTAAAAATAAATTATTTATTAGTGTATAAATTTATTCTAAACTTGATATATATATATATATATATATATATAATTTTTAAATAATTGCATTTTATTAATGAAATTTTTAAAAGCTTAGTATTTTGGTTTAGAAAATTTAAATTATTTTTTAAAAAAAATATATTAATAATTTTATTTTTTAAAGCTCAAGTTTTAAGTGTTTTTTTTTTAACTTTTTCGAAAATTTAAGAGTATTATTTAAAATTTTTGGAAGCTCATAATGTTTGTGGTATTTTCTATAAATATTTATTTTAATCCTTGATTTTCTAAAATAATTATTTTAATTTTAAGAAATAAGTTATATAACTAAATAATATGAGTTTGGAGTAGAAAAATAACTTAATAAAATTTTAAAAAAGAACTTTTTAAAAATATATGGAATAAAATAGAAAATTTTAGAATTTAAGTTTTTTTTCCTTTTTTAATTTCTAAAATAGCACGGTCTTAAAATTTTGTATATATATATATATAATAGATATATATATATATAGTTCAATGAGTTAAGATATATATCATCGACTATGATATCAACGGGTTGAATCTCTAATCTCACGTGTTGGTATACTTAAAAAGAAAATAAATAGATCTAAATCGTTCTTGAATTTTACTCCATCTTAATTCACCTAAAAAAAAATTAATGGTTTAAAATGAATTAGTTGATTGTATCTTAAATTCGAAGGACAGGATCTCGGGCCTAAGTTGGGTGTATATTTAGTTATTAAAGTTTTAAAAGCATCATTTTCGTGTGAAAA